TGCAGAGGCAGGAGCTCCTTTTGCTTTCTATGCCTCGAGTCTGGAGCGCGTCCAGCCCAGCAGGCCGAAGGAGGAACACGCCCGCAGCTGCATCATTGCTCTCCCATGGGGAATTCAGCCCTGATCCATCGACCTGCTTGGGCACTCCCAGCATCTGCCCCAGTCTCTGCTTTTCATGTTCTCTGCCTTGAATGGAACCAGGGACGGGGGCCTGGGAATCAGTGGCAGGGCAGGTTTTTCTGAGACAGGTCAGGGATTAGCCTATCCAAGGCTACTTTCTCTGCCGCCACACCCACCGCAGCAGAAAACATCTCCCAATGCCCGGGGATGCGTTCCTCCTGGGAGGGGAGGACGCACCGCATGGGACAGGTGCACAGGCCTGGTACTTAATGCACGACTGGAACATGTTCAGATTCTAGTGTGATGATGAGTGAAAAACAAGCCCCTATGCCGCAGAGATGAGCAACTGTCAGCCCGGGAGGCCGCATCCAGGCTGCCAGGTTATTTCATGTGGCTGGCCCTAGACCAGTGCAGAGCTGGGGATCCAGCAGTGCCTCCCATCCCCCGTCCCGGGGCAGGACTTGACACTCTCCTCTCTCCCTGTTACACCCCCTGCGGGTTTTAATGAACTTGTGGCCTTTACTACCGTAAAGCCGCCCATCCCTGCTATACGGACTAGACTTCGTGTCTCTCCACCTCCAGTGTAGTTTAACCAGGCTCAGCAGAGCATTGTGGGAAAATCTGAGCAGCTCTCCCATAGTGCCCCAGCCTGATACACAGAGTCCTGAGCGGCACTAGCAGCCGTGCATTGTGGGATGCCTTATTGCACCGTGAACAGAGCGGGAGCAAGGCCAGCTGAACTGGTATCACCAAGCTGATGAGAGGGCGCCGGCCAGAGCGGAGACCAGCCTGTTACGGGGGGGACAGGAAGACAGCCGGACGCCAGAGCAAGCCTCTGTCAGTGGCTTTGGTTGCTAATCGCCTTCCAACCCTGCTGCTGCGGCGCCACAGTCCCCGCAAGTCAATGCTCTGACGGGGCACAGACCCGCGTCTCTGACGCACACGGTCCCTGCTCCAGGCCGACTTTGTTAAGTCACAGCGTGGCCTCGGCCTAGAGCAGCCCCGGCGCCGGGGCTGAACACACACAGCAAGAGCTGGGCCTGCCTGGAGACCTCCCCTCGGTCTGTTCAGAGCGGGAGGGGGCAGCAGAGGCCCAGCGGGGAAGGCACTCGCCCGAAGGCGCAGCAGAGCCAGGAGCCGTCTCCAGATATACTGTGGGATTTGCTCTGGCCTTGGTTTCACCAGTGCCTCACAGCTGGACACAAGTGTCTCCTTCCCACACAGACTCTGTGTGCCAGAGGCAGCAGGCCCAGGGCCTGCCGAAACGGGAGAGGGTGCCTCCCAAAGAGATGGTGAATGCAGGCAGCCAGAGCAGAGCGGGCGGGTGTGCTGCCAGCCTGCCGGGGTGGTAAGTGCGGTGCGATGGGGCCATCTGCTGGAGACCGGGCCCCGTGCTCCCACAGAACCTCAGCCGGCTCTGCACAGCAGCAGTTGCCTCTCTCCCCTCTCCTGCTGCGCGGGAAGGAGCCAGGCACTGGGCGCCTCTTGGTGCGGTTCCAAGGCGAGCAGTTTGAACAGGGTTCCTCTGAGCCGGGTGCCAAGGCAGCTCGTTTACCCACCAGTGCCTGCTCCCTCGCAGCCCCGCTGAGCTAACCTGGCATCCAGCGCAGGGCTGATCCCCTGTCTCTGTTGCTCAGGAGCTAATTCCTTAGGAAGGGCGTGGGCTTGCGTGTGGATGTGAGGACGCTCCAGGGCTATGTCTACACTCGCGGCTTCTTGCACAAGTAATATGCAAATGAGGCGACACGTGGAATATCACGGAGCCTCATTTGCATACCTAATGAGCCACCATTTTTTTCAGAAGAGGCCCTTGCGCAAGAAGGAGCGTCTACACTGCCCCTTCTTGCACAAGAAAACCCCTCTTGCGCAATGCCATTACACCTATTACTTTTCAGGAAGAACAGCGTTGCGCAAGAGGGGTTTTCTTGTGCAAGAAGGGGCAGTGTAGACGCTCCTTCTTGCACAAGGGCCTCTTCTGAAAAAAATGGTGGCTCATTAGGTATGCAAATGAGGCTCAGTGATATTCCACACGTAGCCTCATTTGCATACTACTCGCACAAGAAGCCGCGAGTGTAGATGTAGCCCAGGTGTCCTGCTGGCTGTTACGTGGACCAGATGGGAGTAGACCTGAGTCCATGTAGTTCAGTGTCCTGGCTCCGCAGTGACCAGTAGCAGGTGATTCGGGGCAGTTGCCCTAGAGCCCAGCAACTCAAAGGGGCCTGTGGCTCCGGGCCACCACTGCAGCTACTGCAGCAGTGGCTGGAGTCCCCGGCCCTTTAAATCGCCATGGGAACACCACACCGTGCATTCCAGGCCTCTCAGGGCTGGCCGGCCCCAGCCCGGTCCCTTCCGCCCGAGGCCCTGCCCCACTGGGCAGGTCCCCCCACTTGGCTCAGGGGCCCAGCAAGTCCGTCGGCCCCCCCGATTCAGTGGGAGGTGCAGCAAACCCCGCAGTAGCAGGTAGGGCTCACCGACCCCCACCTGGAAGGTTTCTTCTTGATCCCCAAGAGTGAGAGCGCGGCTCATGTCCCGCAGCGGGAGGGGCTGTATCCTGTCCCGAACTCTTTGTGCTCAGTACTGACTCCGGACGGCCACGGAAACGTCCAGCCCTTTTCTGAATCCTGCTCATCTCTTGGTTTTACTGATCTCCAGCAGCAGTGAGTTCCACAGGCCAACGGCATCTTTGTTCCACATCTGAATTTACTTTGTTCTTTGCATTCGAAAACCCTTATCAAAATGTCTGCCCATCTGAAAACTGCTGTCCCCATGACGAAGGGTGGAGCAGCACCCCTGCCTTTTCCCTCTCACCTCCCATGGCAGGCCCCTGCCTTTCCATCTGTAGTTTCTCTCGCTCATTTTCTCTCGCACTGGGATGCCTATGATGCAGGAATAATCTCAGTTGGCTTTTCCTAACCAGTGTGACATCCATACAGCTTGTTAGCTGATCTCTCCAGTTGCTGTCCAACCTGATAATGACTTCTCAAGGCCCAACCCAGCCAGTTTCATTTCCTCTCTGCCCATCTCCTGGCCTCATGTCTGCAGGGTCACCTGAGTTCCCTTTAGCTTCCCAGGGCAGGAGCAGGGCTGAGCCACGTGCCTGACAGCCCCATAAAAAGTGGGTCATCAAACCATGCCCATGCCAGCGGACGTCACTGCTCCTTGAGCCTGCTTTCCAACTTGGCAGGATTAATCCTCGGCGCCAGGCACCAGCTGCTGGGCAATTGAGAAGGGAGAATTTCTTGTTGCTAGCAAAGTTAATGCCACCCCGTGAAGTAGGGCTCTGCTATTGTGCCCCCTTATACAGAGCGGGAAACCGAGGCACAGAGCGCCTAAGGGACTTGGCTAAGGTCACACTGTGAGTCTGTGATGAAGCAGGGAATTGACCCTGGGTCTCCTATCTGCCGGAGGAGCGACCGAACCACTGGGCCACCCAGCATCTATTGTAGTGTGTAGCACACCCCCTTTCTCCACGCCCTCCTGTAGTGACTCTGTTCAGAGGAACAGTGAGGGACTGAGTAGAGGGGAACCCCGATCAGCGTGGGGCAGCCAACATCCAAGAGGCCCTGCTAGCAATCCTTCCAGGCAATTAGTCTCACTGTCCCTGTCCCTCAATCAGGCCGGGGGCAGCCAACAGTTAGTTTTCCTACTCTCGTCCCACCCAGGCAGGAGCTAGAACAACGGTGTCTGGTGCCCTAGCTCCAGTGGGCTGCAGACCCAGCGAGGCTTCCTGGCCTATTGGTGGGGAGATGGGTGGCCAGGGGAAGGGGACACAGGGCCCTATCAGTGGCAGGGTAGTTTGCCACTACCTCATCAGGCATCCACCCACAGTACACTGGCCAGGCTACAAATAGTCCCACAGCCAAACCCTATTCGGCTTCCCTGGCTCCTTCCTCCCCTCCCACTCCAGGGGTAACTTGGTTTCCTGAGCCGTCTTCTGTCTCCTTTGGGGTGACCAGGAGTGGCAGCCCTAGCAGCTTATGGGGACGGCTGGTTTCCAGCACCTCCGGCAGTGCTGCTAGGTCTCTGGCTGCTCCCAGCGGCTTAGTGGCATCTCTGGGTGAATCTCTGCTTTGTTTTTCAGCCGCGTCTGCTGGAGACTGGGCACAACCCGCCGAGGCTGGAAGCTACGCTGCTCGCGCCGTCTTTCAGCCCCTGAAGGAGCAGGGCCGGGTGCGACGGACGCCCCAACCCCCAGTGCCTTATTTGATTAACTCGCTGCCACACCCCAAAGCTCAGCCTCCACCCATCAGCTGGGAAGGGTCTCCAGGGAGCCTGCAGGTCAGGACATGAGGCGCGCCCGGGGCCGGGCAGGGCAGAGAGCTGCTCAGGGTGGGGGCCGATAGTGTGTAGGAGCCAGACATTGCTCCATCCCAGCCTTGCATCAATGGTTCCTTCCGCCTCTTCCCAGGACAGGGCGGGGTTCTGCTCTGTGGCTCCCTCTACTTCCTGTCCAGGAAGAGGGGAGCCAGGCTGCAGTTTTCCTTCCCTTTCCTGGGCTTCTGAAGTGACACTGATGTTGGTGGGATGCCCCCCGGGACCCTCCAGCCTGGCTTCTGCTGTCTCCCCCCACAGGCTGCAGCAACCTCCAGGGTGGGGCCCGAGGCCCATTCTGTGCACGTCCCCCTGGCTTGCTCTGCAGCCTGTTGATTGCTCCCTCCTGTGCTCGCCCCCGACCTCCTTTAATCTGCTTGCTTCTCCCTGCCTGGCTTCTCAGCCAGCCTCGCCTTTGGGCTCTTCTCCTCTCCCACCTGCTCCCCTCTGGGGGCGCGGTGCCTTCAGCCGGCTGGGCGAGCAGCATTGCAGATGCCCCAGGCCGGTGCTGCGCTCCCAGGCCAAGGTAAGAAACAGAAACAAGAGGGGCCATGAGTGATAACGGAGCTTCCCGGGAGCCAGCCTGGCAGTGGGAGGCCTCCCTCCTGCAGCCTCGTTCATCCTGGCCCCTAACGTCCTGCTTCTGCCACACTGCTTCGTCAGGGGAACAGTCTCGGGGAATCCCCTCCCCCCCTTTGCCTGCCGGGGGACACTAGTGCAGAAAGCCCCGGATTGGAGCTCTGCAGCCTGCCGTGCGGGCATCGCCCAGTGCCCTGCGACAGGAGCTGTCCTGTGCACCCAAGCCCTGGCCCAGCCTCTGGGAGGCCTTTCGCTCGGCGGAACCGGTATGGTCGACCGCAAATGGGAAGCTACACGCCCAGCCCCGTCCCAGTCTGGCAGCAGAGCCTGGTGTTGGCAAACAACCCACGGACCTGGCAGAAAAGGCTCGCGAAGCCCCGGGCCAATGAGGCTTGCAAGGGGCTCAGCTGGATCTCCTTGAAAGCTCTGCCTAGGGCAGGTGGGTGCTGCCAGGGCGACGCAAAGCAAGCAAGCAGCGCTGCCAGCGCTTCCTTCCCCAAAGAGGGAGGAGGCTGGGGGTGTGTCTGCCGCTCCTTGGATTCAGGTGGATGCCAATCAGCAACCTTGTGCAGCTGGCACCAGGAGGAACCAGGAAGCAGCTGGCTGCGGGGAGGTTGGCTGGAGACAAGCGCTCAGAGAAGGCCCCAGGTAAACACTCTGCTCTGGAAACTGCCCACTTGGAGGGATGGGGGGGTTGTTTGCCCCTGGCAGAAAGGGGGGAGGTTGTGCTGCTCAGCCAGGCTGCAGTTCTGGGTCTGTCTCAGGGCGAGGTTAGGGAACTGAAGCTACTTCCTCCTTCTGGGAGCTCTGCTGGCCAGGAGCCAGCTCTGGGGTTGCAGGTCCCTGAGGGGAAGGGGCAGGGGCAGGAGCTGCCACGTTGTGCCTGGGGACAGGCACAATGGGGATCGTTAGGGTCCCCCATTCCTCTCCGCTCGGCCGCTAGCTGCGGAACAGAGCGCAGCTGCTGTTTCCTTTCTGCTGGCCCCACTTTTAAGGGTTTTCCCAAAGGAAAAGGGGCGAGAGACTGAATTCTTTGTACTGTACCTGGAAACTGAGTGGGCAGGGGCTGCTAATGGAAAAGATGGAGGCTCTTCCAGGGGGTTCTCTCTGCGGAGGCCAGGGCAGGGCCAGGGGATGAGGAAGGCTTGCAGAGCTGGCATTCCAGGGCGCCCCACAGCTGTTCAGCACTGTCCTTGGGGTGTTAGGAACCCCTGGCAGGATCTCACCTGCCAGGGTGGTTGGGTTGGCGCCACTGGGCGTGAGCAGGCTCTCGGCATCTCGGCTCAGGAGCCCCAGCCCTGAGGTGTCCACAAGCAGGGACTATATCTGAACATGTGCCGGGGGGTCTAGCTGGGGGCCCATAAGGGGAGCTGCTCAAATCCTCCCTCCCCCATCTCAGAGCCCTTAGACCCGCTCCGTTTCCTGCAGCTAGGCCTCCCGGCAGTGTCCATGGCAGGGGGCCGCCCTGTGGCCAGGCAGGGAGGCTGCAGGTTGGCTGGTTAGGGAATCAGTGCTCTTTTGGTAGGCAGGTCTCCCCGGAGCGGTGGTCTCTCCAGAGAGGGGAGGTCTCCCTTGACAGGTGGGGCAGGGTTCCAGGCTCCCTCCCCACTCTAGCTTGTGTCACCCCAGCCTGGCACTGGCGGGCAGGCTCCTGTGAGGAGAGAGGGGGGCGGCAGTGCTCACAGGACTCCCAGCTGCAGCAGCCGCTCCGGGGACGGGAGCTGGGAGCACACGGCAGGGTGGCCTGGCCCTTACACATGGCCAGTGATGCTGGCTGGGGACGAAGGAGGTCACAACCGCAATGCAGTGAGAGCAGCCTCCCAGAGGGCTGGAAATGCTGCTAGGACGGGCTGGCCTGGCACCTTTGGGCCTGAGAACCAGCCCCCCTCCAAATCTGATTGGCTGGGCTGAGGGGAGGAGCTGGGAGACGGATCCGGGGGAACCACCCCAACCTGTGAATCTGGGGATCATTAGCATCCCCCATTCCTCTCCGCTCGGCCGCTAGCTGCAGAACAGAGCACAGCTGCTGTTTCCTTTCTGTCAGCCCCACTTTTAAGGGTTTTCCCAAAGGAAAAGGGGCGAGAGACTGAATTCTTTGTACTGTATCTGGAAACTGAGTGGGCAGGGGCTGCTAATGGAAAAGATGGAGGCTCTTCCAGGGGGTTCTCTCTGCGGGGGCCAGGGCAGGGCCGGGGGGCTGAGGAAGTGCCTGAATTCTTTGTACCTGGCGAGAGACTGAATTCTTTGTACCTGGAAACTGAGCCTCTCCCTAGAACCAAAGGCTGGGCCTGCTGAGAGGGGGCGTGTGCAGCTCCTCACAGGCACCAGCGTAGAGAGAAAGAGATCCCTCCCCTCCCCTCCGGAGCTCTGCATCTCTCCCACCATGCCCCAGCGTACAAGGGGACACAAGTGCTAGGCAGCAGGCTAGAGCCAAGCTCTGCTTGTACTTTGAGCCTCCGGGAGCTGGGCAGGCCCGGCAGCAGTTTCACTTGGCACAGGCAGATGTTTGTCACCAGCACGCAGGGCAGCTGCATGCGATCTGGAATGCACTTTGCGCTGGGTTTGTTTCTGGGGCCTCTTAGCGCTCCCCGCCATCTGGCTGCGCCTGGGACAATGACTTCAAACACATGGGCAGAGCTGGAACTTTGGGTCCTGCCCATGGGGCATAGTCCAGATTCAGTTTCCATTTTCAGATGTGTAAAAGAGAGTCACGTTTACCACTCAGACGTGAGGCAGCAGTGAACGGTGCGGTGCTGTCTTCCGGAGTCTGCCGGCAGCCTGATGCAGGAGAGTGCTTTTGTCATCAGCATGGAGGGTGTTGACTCTGGAGCCTAATAATGACTCGTTACATGGCAGCATTTGCGAATTACTTTGCTGATTTGTAGCAGCTGGAAAAGGGGAAGCAGTGGGAGGGGAGTCCCTGGTTTGGGAAGAACTGGGTGTTACAGCTGGAAGCTGTGCACTTAAATTGCATGGCCTAATGACCTTAACGCAGGATCTGACACGGGCCAATGCAAGAGAGGAAACACATCCTCATCACCCTAGTAGCTTCGCTATATACACGTCCACATCACCCTAGTAGCTGAACACCTCACATCATTCTTGGGCACTAGGTCTGGGTTGATCTCTTTTTACCAGTGGGAAACTGAGGCACAGACCGATCTAGTCTGCCCAAGGTCATGCAAGGAGTCTGTGGCAGAACCTCAGTCCGGTGTTTAATCGCTAGACCCGCACTGTTCTTTGGCTCTCCAGCTTTCCCCCCTCCGAGCCATTGTTTCCACAGGGCACCATACCCCTGCTGCAATAGCCGAGCTGGAATCTGTGTGAAATTGGTTTATTTCCCCACGGTGCATTGTGGGTCAGTCACTGACTGGAACAGGGACTAGCCTGGCCCATAAGGGGCAATTTGCTCTTTGGTGTGGGGGTTTTCTAGCCGGCCATGCCTCACCCTGACCAGAATGCAGCTCTGGTGTCTGGCTGCAGCATCAAGAACTACAGGGGCTTGTTTGAGACTTGCTGGGAGTATCCCTAAGAAATCTGTGGAGCCGGTTTCCCAAATTGTGGCTTTTCCTGTATAGAGTTGGCAGAGCAGAGGATTCCTTGCTGCTTCTCTCTCTCACTCACCCACACACCCCTTCCAGGAATAGCAGCCCAAGTACTGCAGGGATCAGCCCTGAGCTATAAAATCAATTGCATATTCAGGTTAGCAATAGCGGCAGCTTCCAGGATGCATAATAGCCAGCTTTCTGGCTAAGATAGGGAAATACAAATCTACTATATGTTTTAGAATCTTTGTCGGTGTGTCCATCCATCCTGCTGTGAGAGTCATTCACTCCAGAGCTCCTCTTAAATGGTGAGAGCTAGGACCACCACTTTGGCAGGCAGCTTCCTCTTATCCTGACTTAAAGCAAGGTCAGGGCTTGGTTGTGCCAGAACACTAGGATGTGCCTGGAATTTGGTTGGTTCTCATAAAATGGAAAGGGAGGGATCTGGTAGGAGGGACGGTTATACTGTAGAATGACCACAGGGGGGCAGCAAGGAGCCAGAGAAGGGACAGGTGTGGAGAAAGGGCCATCTACTATATATTTCAGAGAGTTTGTGTGTCTGTCTCTCCCCCCAGCTGGGGGCCATGCCATCACTTTCACTCTCAGCCCTGGGAAAGCCCCTGAAGACAGGGTCAGCCCCTCCTGTCCCCTCACAGGGGCTGGAGCTCCACTGCAGAATGCAATAGGGCAGCTCTAGCCCCTTCCTGCCCTGGAGCCGTAGGATCAGTGGCTGGCGGGGCAGTGAAGCAATCTTGTACGCAACCCCTCCAGCCCCCGGTGTGAAAGGGAACCAGCCACCAATACGGGTAAAGCCAGCACAGCCAGAGGTAGGGGCTAGGTGGTCGTGCTCTGTCTAAGATATTCCAGCCTCTGGGGAGGGTTGAGGCTAAAGGGCAATTAGAGCAGCCTCTGTCTCTCTCCCTTGTTGCAGTTCAGAGCACCGGAGAACCCGAAAAGGAACCAAAAATGGGCTCGGAAGGCCAGAACTTGGGAGAGGAACTGAACAACCAGCTCAACGACGCCCTGAGCAGACTAGCAAGCAAACAGATGTTCCAGTCGGACTGGGACATTGCTGCCTTTGCCATCTTCTTCATCTTCATTGGTAAGCAGGGGACTAAGCAACGGTGCGCTTGTGGGGGGCTACAAACCCAGCCCCACAGTGTCTGTAGAGCTGTTCTAACTCGCCTGCAGACAAGCAGCTGGAGTGGCCAGAGGTGCCTCCAGCAAAGGCCAAGGTCTTTGGGGCAAAGAGGCTCTGTGCATGCGTGCGCCCCTAGCACACCTGGGCTGGGGTGGTAGGTGCTCCTCTATACGCACAGTAAGACCATCCATCCAGCTGAAGGCCGGGAGGAACCCTTAGGTCCCCCCAGCTGACCAGGCCAGAGAACTCCATCTACGCATGAGCTCGAGAGAGATCCCTGCTGTTGATTTAAAGACACTGCATGATGGAGAACCCACCCCACCTTTCAGTAGTAGCTCTCCCTCCGGGCTGAAAATCTGCATCTTCTAGTCTGAATTCGTCTCCCTTGAGCCTCCAGCCAATCGGACACCCTCTGCCTGTTACATTAAAAGGATCCTGTCTCCACCAAGAGGCGCTGTGTCTGGAGATCTGGCCACCAGATTCCTTTCAAACAAGGCCTGGGCTGCAAGTAGACAGCAGGGAATCAGCTTTTAAAACACTGAGCAGACTGTGCTGCTGTAACCCCCGGGGAGGGGTTGTCCCAGGTGGGCCAGGCTGCAGAAGGGGTGAGTCTGTTACAGCCCAGCGAGGTGCAGAAGCGCAGATGTTTAGTGCTGCAGGTCACAGTGCACTCCCTGGTGTGTTGGCCGAGATGGCAGCCAGCAGACAACCGTGCAGGCAAGTCCATCGTTCAGGAACGCGGTGAGAACAATCCCAACGCCAAGCTGCCTTTTGGCCAGGACTTGGTTACAGGTCACAGCACGGTGCTTTCTGCCACAGAGGACTGGCAGGAGGCCAGTGTGTGTGTGACATCATAGCAATGCGGATAGCCACGTACCCTCCACTGACTCCTGCCTTGCTCCTCGGTACGATGAGCCATTCAGAGCTAGACAGGGGAGATGCTAACACCTACAGCTCCTAGAATGGGGTTTCCCCTTTGGAGTGTAGACAGACTCCCTCCCCCCGCAGCCATAAAGCCATGGCACGAAGCCTTTCCAGGCAGGGTTTATTACATGATTCTCAGCAAAAACTAAAACCACCCTGCTGGGATTATTCCGCTGGTGGCTGTTGCTATATCGGCTTTAACAGAGGATAAAGCGGGAGGCGGGGGGACACGGGACAGCGCTGGTATTAAGAATTCATCAAACCTCCCTGCCTTCCCCTCTGAGGACTAACACTTGGCACTACGGCCCAGTAACACGGATTCAGCTGAAGGCCGGGCCAGTGTCAGCGGCAGAGCTGAGGAACCCAGCAGGGGCCGAGCGCCCCCGCCCTAGTGCGGCTGAGGGAGTACGAAGGGCGTGGAACCCCGGCAAACATACTCGAGACGTGGGGAGCTGGTGATCAAAAGCTTGAACTAGGGCCACCAACCTGAGGGGGGCCGTGAGGGGACGGCCATCCCAGCCCCTTCCAAGGGGCGAGCTACAGCCAGCCAGCACCGGATCAGATCACGGGGCGAACACTCACCCCCCGGGCGCCTCCTGCTGGTCACTTAGGGAATGAGCATTTCTGCCCTGAAGTGCCCCCTTTCGGACGGTATCTCGCCCGCTGTTACCTGTTACCATCTCCACCCAAGTCCCTCCCAGACCGGGCATCCTCCGCTCTGGGTACTGCCCTACCACAGTGCCCCACACTTGGGGGGGGTCCTCCTCCTCAGGGAACCCCCAGTCCTTTATGCTCACCTGGCCTCAGTGACCCACAACCTGTCCTTCTCTAGCCCCTTACCTCAGAGGCAAACTGCAGTCTGAAATGGCCACTCAGCTTTGGCAAGGGGATGGACCTGCTGCCTTTGCCTGCCCTGGCTCTCTCTGCAGCCTGGGAGAGAGGCTCCCCAGCCCTGCCTGCTCAGTCTCAGGAAGCCTCCAGCTTCCCTGGCAGCCAGGTCCCTCCTGCTCCCAGCCAGAGCAAGTGTCTGTTCTTCCTCCAGCAGCCCTTATACAGCCCCAGCTGGGCCCTAATTGGCTGCATCTGCCTCAGCTCTGGGGCTTTGCTGAGCCTTCTCCCAGGGCGGGGTTTTACCCTTAAAGGGCCAGTGCGGGCAGATGGCCCATCACAGCTCCCCAACGGTCACCTTGGGAGGAACGGGCAGGAATTAGTGCCTGTGGGTCTAACATCATAGCAGCACTGGCAGAACTGGAACTTCTAGGTGCTAGTTTAAACTGGTTTAATTAAACAGGTGTAAACGGCAGTATGGGTGCTCTTCATTTGGTTTAAACCGGGCTTAGTGCACAGTTAGGAACTGGTGTAGGTAAACCGAAACAAGCCACCTCTTGAACCCCAGGAGGAGCGTCCACACAGGAGGTTAACTGAACTGGTGTAGCTGTGTGTGCAGGTCAGGGTGTGTGCGCAGGCCCCCTGAGAAGCTGGATTTCCTGGTCCTCCAGCACTTCCTGCGGAGGGAGGGGATGGAACCATGGAGTCACCCCGCCGGGTGGCACAGCAGCACTAGGGAGCATGCAAGGGTCAGAGAGGTGACAATGCAAGGAGGAGGCATTTGGGCTACTGCTCAGAATACAGCCCCAGGCAGGAAGGGCACCTGCAGTGGGTGTGTACGCTTGATGGGCCCAGGGGCTTGGAGGACTATGAGGCTCGGGTCTGACTCTAGTAGGTGCAGTCATTGCTGGTGCCCTGACAGAGGTGCTAGCGCATGGGCGGGACTGTAAGTTGACATGATGGCTTGATTCTCCCCCAGGGACTGTGCTCCTGCTGGTTCTCCTGGCTCTGATCCGCTGCTGCTGCTGCTGCGACTGTGACTCTGGGGGGTTGCACAAGCAGGTAAGAGTCTGTTCCTGTGCTTGGTGTTCCACCACAGGGGCACGTGGCCAGTGGTCCTACAGCTCACAGGGAGAGGCAGGGCTGAGTTCCTCACACACCTCCGCCTGGATTCGAGGTTCAGTTAGCCTTCCCCACAGCAAAACCCAGGCAGGGTCCTCTCACCACCGCCTTGGAGTGCGCCAGGGGCCACGGGGCTCTGTCCCAGCTGGAGAACTGGGCTGTGGGGTTGACGGGCTGTGGAGGCGCTCCTGGGCAGGGAGAAAGCCCAGGCAAACTTCAGCCTGGGGGCATAGCTCCTGCAGGTTCCCCCGGCTGGGGTGGGAAGGCATTTCTTGCAGTGACCCATGCTTTTCACAGTGGCCAGGAGGGAGGGTGGCTTTGGGCTTCCGGGGTTGATCTGGGACACGAGCCATCCCTGGGCAAGTCTCTTGCTGTTTGCAAAATGCAGCCACTTCCCTACCTGCCGGGGGAGCTGCAATGCATCAGGGACTAGGCGACGTGCAGGCGCGATACGGTGAGGTCTGCTCAGTCCTTTATGGCCCCCCTCAAATGGCTCGACACGAGAAATCCCCCTCCAGGTGGATCTCCGTTTGCAGGCCTCCGTTTGTAGGGGGGCAGAGGCTGGGAAACGAACGCTGCTGCCGTCCTGGGGGAGCCGGAAGGGAGCCAGGTTCTTCCTTTTCACTCTTCCTTTTCCTTTTTTGTTTCAACACAATTAGGTCCCCAGAAAGAAAGTGGGCATTGATAACAAGGCCATGGAGCCGTAGCCCCGCCTCCTCCCTTGGACAGACAGATTCTGGAGCCAATGGGAACAAAGACTCTTCTTTGCTCGCTTCTTTCTGCTGCCCCGCAATCAAGGGCAGCTCGGACTCTCTAAATCTCGAGCGCTGGCCTCATGCAGCTGTGCGCCCCTGGCTCCAGCACTGGTCCCCCCCCTCCCCTGCACCAAGGATCAAAAGGAATTCCTGTGCCGCTGAATCAGAGAGCGGCCCCAGCCGCCCCTTTGGGCCATTAGGGCCTCAGGGGGCAGCAGCTGTTGCTCCGCAGCCCAGGGGCAGGGATTCAAGGCCGTTCCTGGCAGGAGGGATCTCAGCTAGATGGGCCCTCGGGCCAGTCCTGGAAGGCAGCTCCCGGGGAGGTTGTCCCTATTACAGCAGGGCCCCCCAGGCACGCTTCCGGGGCTCTGAAAACATCCCTGGCTTTGTCCCTCCTGGAGCCCATCAGCTGACCCTCCAGTCTGGGAAGGAACAAATCCCTGGCCGGAACCAACCACGGAAGCAAAACGCCCAGAGCTCGGTCCTGCTTTGCTGGAGGCAGAGGAGGCGAATGCCTTGGCAGCCTTTCCCTCTGGAGCCCCCATTCACACAGCCACGGGGGGCCTTCTGGCTGCAGCCCAGGGCCTGAACTGCTGCCTGCAGTCCCCAAAAGCTGAGGGAGCTGCCCGTCTCACCAGCTGCATGTGTGCGCAGAGAACAGGCTCAGGGAGGAAGCGTGCTCCGTCCAACGTGCTCTGTCTCTAGGGGTCCAGTAGGAAGGAAGGCAGAGCTGAACTAGGGTAGTGCTGGTGCCGGCCTGGTGCCTGGACCGCACCACTCGCTGTCTCACCCCATTCCCAGACAGCGCTAGCAGGCCTTAGTTCAGGAAACTCAGAAAAATCCAGAAGAGTCATTTCTTCCCTGCGTGGCTGGGTTTGCGTAGGGCTCGGTGGATGCAGTGCATGGTCGCTGGCCTTCTGCCAAGTCCTAAGGAGCCAGTGACCCCGTCCTGCTCTGAGCCATTGCCACACCCGCTGCCTTGTGCCACGGTTAAGGGAGGGATCGGAGAACTCACCCCGTCCATCTCCCTCAGGGCTGGGCTAAGTCAGTCTCCCCAGCCCTGGACTGAGACACTGCCCCACAGCAGGACATGGCCAGGAACGAGTAACTCGGCCAGGGGCTGGGAAGCCCCTGCAGGGGAAGTGGGCCGAGCATGCCCGCTCTGAACCACGGTCCCTCAGCACACGGCCTCTGCCACCCCCAGCCCCACTCCCTCCCCTCTCCAGCACTTGGGCATATTCTGAGCCTGGCATTCGGAAAGAGGCCTTCTGGAGCCACTGGACTAAGTTTTGACAGGAGCTGGCCTGGCCAGGCAAAGGGAAGCTAGTCACAAGGACAGCCTTGCTCTGGGAGAGCGGATTGGGACGCCTCCGTGAGGCCCTCCAAACGAGCAGTGGCCAGAGAGCACCTGGTACTACAAAGGCCTGTGGTTCTGTTCAGTCTGGGCTTGTTCTCCCTCCTCAGGGTAGAGTCTTTATCTGCCCCCCTGTCCTGTGAACACCCCAGCGGAGCCTAGACCTCGGCACAGCTGTGGGGTTGCACTGCCTCAGGAGCGGGTCTAAGAGCAACCCATTCCGCTTTCCCCAGCCCCGGTAGCACTCGGTTTAGCGGAAGTGAGGGACACCCACAGCCGAATGGCCTCTGCTCTCTTTGGGCTCAGTCCTGGGAGATCACGGACTTCAGCGGCATCTGGCACTGCCCACTTCCGCCCAGCAGGTTTGCGCCGATGCCCAGCTAGCAGCAGGGTGTTCTGGAAAGATTCATCCATTTCAGCAGCTCTGCTGGCTGCTGCTCCGCTCCCTCACTGCAGGCGGTGCACTGTAGCCCTGTGTGCGCATTAGAGTGCCACACCCTTCCCACTGGGCAGCTGCTCCTGTGCTTGGGACGGCCTCTCCCCTCCGCCCCCAGCTCTTCCCTAGCTAGAGCCCGTGGATCTGAAGGGAGGGCAGTGGGGTCAATTTAATTAACATGCCAGCCAATGTCCTTAAGGTTTCTCGCTGCCTTGCGCCATCCGGGCGCTATGTCCAGGAAACTTTCTAATTTCATTTCTGAATCCAGGAAGAATTACTCGTGATTCTAAATAAAAAGCATGTGCTGGAGAGCAGCTGGCCTGGCGTGTCTGTACATTAAAGCCCTGGGGACACAGAGCAACGGGCCTGGGCTATTCCGTTGAGTGGCGGGCTGGCCGCTGCTGGACTGGAGATGCACAGGAGAGGTCTCGACCCTCTCTGCTTTGCTGTCCTCTGCTTGGGGATCATTTCACGAGCAATTCACAGCCCTGCTCTGGCCACTGTGACTTGCCCAGTTAGAATACCACTGCTGGGAGCTTCCCCCGAGAAGTGTCTTCCCCCACCCCTTACGGCTGCCCCTGCACCCTGCCCAAGATCATTTAGGAGCCTGTGTTCTAGTGCTCAGTGCCCATGGAGACTGCCGCCCTGCCAGCATCCCTGCCGCCAGGACCGAGGACGATAATACTGTGAACTATCTAGGCACAGCAAAGCAGAGCCAGCCCTCCCTGACTCTGAGCCCTCCACCCAACCCTGCTGACAGAGAGGAAGAACTGGAGGTGTCCTGCTAAGGGGAAAATGAGCACGCTGGATGGGGGCTGAGGGGAAGGTGTTTGGCATGTGACAGGCTCCTGCCGGGTTTGACAATCTGACAGGAGCACACACATGGGGCGAGCAAATTGCACTGAACACTAGAGCAGCAGGTTCTTGAATCACGTGCTCTGCCTGAAAGGACACTGAAAACCAGGACAGCCAGAGTCCAGGAGCACTAGGCATTCACCCAGTGCAAAGCCCCGTTCTCCTTGTGCTCACGGCAGCACAGGGGCTGCTTTCTACAGCCCAGCAGAGATCTGGCAGCCAGAAGGGTTCCAGTATCTCCTAAAGCGGAGGACTTGTACGTACCGTGCATGAGCCACAGCTCTGAGCTGGCCCACAGACGGCCAACACCCAAAGCAGCTGGTAGCACTTAGGCACCACAGCTCTTCTCTGCACTTCCTGAGCTGAGATGTTAGGAGATTGGGTCTATTGATCCACACTGGGGGCAGCTGGTGAGACACACCAAAGGCCATCCAGGGCTTAGTGGCAAGAGTCTCCCATTATACAGTACTCTGGACAGGGCTATAGATCAAGCTCTGTTACAGCCCATCTCGAGTCCAGGGAGCCAGCCTGCGACTCTGATACCACTTTCTGAAAGGTTCTCCTACCGTACGCAGCTGGTCAGGTGGGAACGACAGGATGGCTGTTTCACTGAGCCCGTGAGGCTGTTTCCACACACAGGAAATAACACATCCTTGGTTGCATGCTATGGGCAAATCTTGCCTGACAAGCTGGCAGCCCATAGCTGGGTTTCACAGCTCTTCACCCACCCAGAGTTATAGATCAGAGATCTTCCAAATACGGAGAGGGAACTCCATTAGCTTTCCACATCCTTTACCGTCCCCGGGACACGTGAGAACCGATGCATGTGCAAGGTCGAATTCTCGCCGAGAAAGCAGGCTGGTAACAGATGCATAGAACAAGGGCCCGGTGGAGCAAACCCAGCGTGCATGCTTGGCAAGCCTTTGTGAACCGTTACCCCCTCCCCCGTCTAAAGAATGAACGCCTCTGGCTTCCCTCCCCCACTTACAAACCAGAACGGGTTTACTCAGTGCGACTCCCTGCATCCCGCAGCGCGCTGGAGGCTTGTATAGATCAGGAAGCACAGAGCGAGCCTTGGGTTCTCAGAGGCCGGCCAGACGGGGCAATTCTGGAGCTGTAGCTGTTACTCTTCCTGCTTTGGGCCTCGGAAGGCCTCTGCATCCCACTAAGCTATCTGCAGAGCTCCCAGTCCCGCGCAGCAGGCAGATCAGCCTCTCCCTCCCAAAAACAGAAGACCCTGGATGCCAGTTGCAGTTTCCCAAGAAGGTTCCCAGTTAAGAGTCCCCACCCTGTGTGGACCGTATCAGGGATCCCAGGCTGGCGACCAATCCAGATCCCTTTGAGCCGGGGCGCACGATGCTGCAGGGCAAAGGAAGCAGAGAGCTACACAGCCACTCTCGGCACACAAGGGCGGACACCCCTGCGTCCTGGCTCTGAGCAAAGGCTGCACGCTGGAGGAGGCCTCAGCCAATGCACGAGGAGAGGGACTGCTCTCAGCTTGACAAAGGGGGCACGAGGGAAGGAAGTCCTCCCCCTCCCCATCAGCAAGCCCTGCCCGGCCCCACCCCATCGCCTCAGTACCAGCCACTCCCGGCATCCAAAGCTAACCCCGCATGTTGCCATGGTCCAGGGCGGGTAGGTTACAGCATGGCCCTGGCGGGCTCTTAGGTCCTGGCTGGAGAGAGCAACGCTGCATTGCAGCATTCGACTTACAACTAAGTATGGGCAGGGTCTCGAGTTACCTTCCTCATCCCAATCCGCCAGCACCTGCCCGGATCTATCCCCCTCCCAATTCCTGCTCCTTTCCTCCTGCACGTCACCCCACAGGTCTGCCCGAGCCGCCCCTTAGCCATCGCTCTGCCCCCTTCCCCGCCACGCTGTAATCCAGACTCAGTAAGTCACCGGTGACGTTCCTAGTTCTCAGCACATCCTAGCACTGAGCAGCCACAGCACCGCGCTTGATCTGAGGGACTTTATTTCACAACTGGTTACAGGGGTGATTCAGACATTGTAGCATCAATAAGGTACAGGCAGCAAACCACCATCCTTCTACAGGAACAACATGATCGTGTCCACAGATCTGCGTTTAGCATCGCCATGAGGCACATTGCAGAGACTGTACGACGGAAGACCTGGCACAGAGGCTCCGCCAGGGAGAGGGTTATGTGCAAATGGTGAGCAGAAGCTATGTTTGAACAGACAGAAACGCCCGGCTCACCTGGGGCTCAAACAAGGAGAAATCCAGTCACATTGGTGCCAGGGAGAAGAAGTAACAGCTGCAAACAAGAACATCTCAAAACAAATTCCAGGAAACAGCTGGACAGGTGCCGGGGAGGGTCTGAGACAGGAAGGGATGAGTCTTGGGGCCGGTCAGAAACCCTGCTGGACCATGCTAGATCCATGTCGTGCTGCACACGGACAAGCACTCAGCCTGCCCAGTTAGTGTTTGTCTGTTGTGCCCCAGCCCTGCTCCTGGCCCAGCAATCCCTAGGCTATGTGCAAATTACATTAGCTTTCCTGGCTCATGGTCTGCCCCTCGGGCCTGGTCCACGTAACTCACCAGGGGCTCCAAAGGTGCAGAGTAACATTCTAACGTTAATACACAGACAGGAGCAAGCTCACCATCCACGGCACGGCACTGCTGGGGCACTGGCGGTGCTGCCATGTGGTGAACCCTGAGGTCTGAAGCAAAGCAGCTCCCACGGGTGACGTCTCTGGCGAGCACTGAGCCTGTTGCATGGCAGGACACAGGCAGGTGCGACCTGGCACGCCTCGCAGGCTGGCTCACAGCGGTCTCCTCCGAGAGGAGCAGGGCAGTAGTGCTTGGGGCCGTGTAGGGTCGCACCCTCCAGGGAGGATTAGTATGGCCTGTAGTTCCAGTAGCTGGAGAAGACAGAGATCTGGAAAACAAGGGATAGCCCATTAGGCTCTGGGGTTCCCTCGATCCTTGTTAAATCTCAATCTTACGGTAAAGCTGCTGCTTTCTGTTAAAGCGGCGGCTTCCCCCCCACCACACCTCACCAGGATCCTGCCCCACTCCTTAGCCCAGGAACATACCCCTTCTGAAACAGGACTAGTTCCTCATCTCCCCCGTTTGCTCCCACAGACCCTGGCTGGGAAACCCGCCCGATGAATTGCACAGCACACACAATTCACCAGGGGACCTTGGCCACGTGTCTTTATTATTGTTTTCTCCCTGTGCTCCAAGTACCACACACAGCAGCAGCTAAAGGGAGCACCTCCTGTTGGCTCTCTCCCTGGCAGTCAGCCGATGAGCGCACTGCTCATCAGGTTCTCTACAGGTGCAAGCCACCCTGCCGACCTTGCAAACCTACCAGGCTGCTGGATTCTCACAGGCTCGCTCTGCAGCCACTGCCAGCGCCCTGGCACAGCTCTGTGCTATCGCCCAGCGACTCAGACCTGTAGCGAGCCGCCTGCTGTGTCGCACCTTCCACTTGTCAGCTCCATAGCAACCGTTTTCTTCCCGGAACATCCTGTGCCCTCACTACAAGGAGCACGTTACGTCGTGCCCCAGACCGATTTCTGGGCCGAGCAGAGCCCCGCCAGGGGAGCGCCTCGGTGAATTGGTCCGAAACCCTCTCAGAGCAGGCGAGCGGCCTGGCCACGTGCCTACCTTGTCCTTCAGCTGCTGGCAGAGCTGTAGCGAGACCGTGAAGAAGACCAGGGCGTCGTTTAGCCAGGGGACCACACACTCCACTTTATGGACATGGCTGACTTCGTATCGTTGGCTGCCAAACTCACTGCCAAGAGAGCACACCACAGCTGCTCACGCCCGGGGCTCTGGGCACTCTGATGAATCCAGGGGTTAAACTGGAGCTAAGTGGGGGTCACTGCTGATCTCGCACTAAACGGGAAACCGAGCCAGTAACCAACCTGCTGAGATTAATCTGGTCTTGAAATGAGAGGAGCGGAGCCCAGCTCAAGGGCAGACAATGGGTGCGGGGTGGGATTTTGCTTTCCTACTGGACTGTAAGGGACAGGTGTGTGTAGTGCCTGCGAGAGCAAGGAAGAGTGCTAGTTAGTGCACACGTGCTATACAGCGGGGGGGGGGGATCTTTTTTGGGTTGGGGGCTG